ACTTCCAGAGTAGTGGCAGGCAAAAGCGAGGAATGTGTGACCATTGATATTTACAGAATTCACGTCATGTGCAGCATAAGTTTGAAGAGACTGTAGTTTGGCAAAGTGTCTTCCTGACCATTTAAAGACAGTGGACTGAACAGAATGCTTCTGTTGAGAATTGTAATAGTTGGCGAAAGCGATGTAAGTGACATTGTTTATTTCAAATGCCGTACATCCCATGGCACCTTTAGTTGCTATCTCCTGGAACTTGTTGAACTTGAGGCCATTCCATTTGTAGATGACTGATTTTGTTGAGTGGGTTCTTCCATCATGATGGTTTGCCACTGTGAGATATTTGTCTCTATTTAATGTGAAGAACTTGAAGTGTGTAGCTCCTTTTGTTGGTAATTTCTGAAATACCACAAACCGCTGTCCATTCCATTGGTAGACTACAGAGTCAAGTTGGTATGTACCATCCCAATGATAGGCCACAGCTAGGAAATGTTTATCAGAGATAGAAGCGTACTCAAGGCCAAATACACCTCTAGTTGGCAGGGTCTGGTAGAATGTGAACTTTTCAGTCGGTTCATCCATCTTGTAAACCACGGAGCTTGTCTTGTGGTTTTGAATATCTCCACGATTGTTCCCAATGGTGAGGAACAGACTTCCGTTAATGATAAAATGTTGAACAGCTGTAGCTCCTCTGCTTGGTAAGTCTTGAACTTTCTCAAAGAAGTGGAAACCAGTGGAACATTCTTTGATAAAAACAAAACAAATGATTAACAGAGTTTACCTCTCATTCTTTGTTTCTGTTTATTCGCGAAACATGCGAAACTGTTATTCAACAATTCTTTCTACAAAAACTGTTACCAAAGCAACATTCCATTCTGTAAAACACTAAGTTCTATATCACTGTATTTCAATCAGCATATCAGATCATACATTTTTATTCAAGGTTAAATAGGGAATAGAACGATTTGAATAGAATCGCATGTAAAGATTTTTTGAGAAGGATGAATATCGATAAACTGTACTGACTGCAATACAATGATAAACTATGAGGGTTGCCGAACCCGTCTTTTAGCTGCAGGCACATTAGGCTCAAATTAAGAGTGTTTCTAAAAGTCCGTATTCTCGCTAGTTAGTGTCATAAAAATGAATATATGATTATTAAAACTTCTTATTAAAATTTTTTAAGGCAATTTTAAAAGATCATGCGATTAACTGTGGTAAAATACATCCATCGAAGAAGATGCGTCAAGCCTCTTTTAATTGGCTAATAGTGTCTCAAAAGGTCGAACTCATTGCATTGTGCAAGGTGTTATTTCCTAGGTTTTGTTCAAGCTGATGTTGGCTTCAGAAAAATCCACGTACCGGACTAATTTTACCCCTTCCCCTTTCTCCTCCGTCGCCCGATTGTATGCTCAATATGTTAACATTTGCTTCAGGAAATGTAGGGGGGCTGAGCATCTCGGATTAGTGCGAAATCTGTGTTTAATAAGTTCATTTCTGCGAACAGAGGGATTGGCCGATCTTGACATAACTGACATACAACGGGTGCTCTGATTGGTCCAAACTCTATCGTCTATTGTGCCGTTAACTATATAAAACTGAAGTATCAAAGAGGACCTTCACTCAGAAGTTTGTAGAAAATCTTATTTACATTGAAACAAAAGCCACTTACAAAGAATAAATGTCCACTCGAGACTTATTCTGTTTCCTGTCCGCGATTAATATTTCAGCTTCCATTTGATTATTTGTACGTTTTGGAAGGTATTTTTTATCACTTTTTGTAAATTATAATGAGAATTCCCTAAAAGCTTTAATTGAAGCAGAGGCAAAACAAAAAAGTTTGATTAAACAGAAATAGTATACCACGATTAAAAATTAAGCTAGTGTCTGATGTACACGGCTCGATATTGCCGTCTTTGGTTTTGCTCTTAAACGGAAATAAGTCTCTTCAGTATAATTTCTTCAACTGACCTTTATTTCGCTGAAAAAGCTCTTGAAATATTAGAACTGTTTCGTAGGCTTGCAACCATCAGAAACTTTTCGAACAGATTATCACGTCGCTATCGCAGTGGTAGACCAATTTGGCGTTTTATCCATCCAAATTGAAGTATTCTTCAATTAAACATAGTTATTGCCTTCTAAATAGTAATAAGTTTTTTTCAGCATAATTTGTTCAACTAACCTTTATTTCACTGAAAAAGCTCTCGAAATAATAGAACCGTTTCATAGGCTTTCAACCTTATCACACTGCTATCAAAGTTATAAACCAAATTTGGCGTTTCATCTTTCCAAATTGGAGTATTCTTCTAAACAACGTACTTTGTGCCTTGATCTGGGGGTGTTTTCCTGTGCACTTAAAAATATTTATCATTAAAAAATCAAGTAAAAATTTATTCCAGCGAACTATGCCTTGAGCTTGCATTGAAATTGCAAGGGGCGTTTTACTATGCTCTTAAACGGCAATCATCAAAGAAGTAAGTAGTTTAGGAATGCAGGGGCTACTGATATATCACAATTTTTATAGTGTTGAAAAGAAGTGGAGATTGTATAATGATGATGAAAGGTAGTGTCGTACAAGATTTGTCTCATATACAAACCAGAAAACCTGCCGCATCTCACATTTATGAATATCCTGTTACACAAGAGAAAGATGATTCAAGAATATAGTGACTAATTGATACTTAACCACGAGTTTATCAGTATTTTATACTGTCATGTGCCACCCTCGAAAAATAAAGTTGATGATTATTATAACCAATGATAAATTGGTGCCAAATAATCATACCATCATAATAATAATAATAATAATAGTAATAATAATAATGATAACAATAGTGAAGGTATTCAAACGGCAAGGTACTCCCCCTTCAAAGAAAAAAGTTTTCCTCTGGGTTCTTCATGATGCGCCGATCACACCTTATGCTATGTTTCTTAAAAAAAAAAAAGCTTTTTTTTTTCATGCGCCATCCGGAAATTATTGGGAGATGTTTATCGTCTTCTATAGTGCTCCGTAGCACGGTGAACATCGAGTAAGAATTGTATAAAGATAAGAATTCTATTGTTACTATCACTCACTTACTCCCTCCCTCACTCATTTTGATGACATATGTGACCTCGCCTTCTATAGGAGACAGTAGCCATAAAAACAAGTGAAAAATTATTCCTATCATCCTTACAACACCTTTTCCCGGAGGATGACGAGGAGCTCTGTAAAAAATTATTGAAAACCTCGTTATCATTCATCATTGTTTTATGCTTCTACATGTCAAAGAACATCACACAATAACTGCCAAAATAATAACAATAATGAAAGAAAAAGTAGCAAATTACTTGTTATAATGTGTCATTACATTAGAAGTACACAAGGAATGTTACACTTTTAAGTGATGATTTCTATCCATTATATCTTCCATACCAGGTCATCACATGTTCCCGGCAATCCTTTCTGTCCCTTTTGTCCTCGTGATCCTTTCTGTCCCATAGATCCTTTCTCGCCCTCGATGAAAAATCGAGCTTATCAAAAGGTTGAATGACACGGACTTGAGGGGGAGAACTTGTTTCGCTATCCGTCTTTAAACAACTTTGAGAAGTTAATGTTCTTTAGGTTTATCTTTTAAGCTGTGTTGGACGAAACACAGCTTAAATACACAGCTTCATACACCTCATAACTTTCTTTAGAAAGAAGCCGTTGCCCTCCCCCCTCCCAACCCCTCTCTGTAAATAATTAGCAGTCCCTACCAGGTCCTAAAAGGGGTTCTTAGTCCTACTATTATGGTAGCTTTTTTTTTTTTTTTTCTTTTGCAGGTCCTAGTTTAACTGAAGGATTCAGATTCAGAAACTTTGGAATTGGAACTACTATTCTCTCCCTTTTGTCCTGGTTCACCCCTCTCCCCCTAAAGAATTTAAAATTTAACGCATTAGCAACGTACTTCACTGTATTCATTGACAGTGTCAAAGTCAGATAAATCTCTAATACGGGAAAATTAAGAAGCAAGAGAACTCTTATATTTCGGAATGATAAGTTGTTCTCCCTTGCCAAAACCTAATGGTATAACTGAATCTTCTTGGCTGGGATACCTACAGTAATCACAATTCAAATATTCCAACTAAATAATTGGTAACAGTTGAAGTGTCAATCAGATCAAAGCCAAAAAAATCAGCCAGAAAATCACTCAACTTTTGCATTTAAAAGTATAAAGATTATCATATCTTTAAATTAGATATGCTGAATATAAATTTTACCAACCTTGATGCTAGCATTTACATTCACACCATGCATGCCTGGTTCACCTTTCTCTCCCTGGATAATTTAAAATGAATCGAAATAATCTCGATAACCATGACAACAGTTTGATTAATGTACTTATGAGTACACGACTAACAAGGAGAGGTACGTCATATACTGTTCAACACATCTGTATTCTCAGGTCCGTTTCAATGTCATCTTTTTTAAACAACGGTTACATCATCGTTTTAAAAATACATAACCTTTGCTCCAAATGTCCCATCGCGTCCATCTCGTCCTATATTGAAAATATTGGCGATCAGTACAAAATGTGAAAACACAGATAAATGAAAACAGCAACAAAAGTCACCTTTTATCTTTTACATAATACTTCTTTTGTTTCAACTTTGTAAAAGGTGTCACATGTTACACCTTCGTTTCCCAAGAGATGTACTATACACAGTAATTTTCAGTCATTTAAACTCGTTGGAATATTAACTTTACACAAGTGCAACTTTTTAGTTTCTAATCTGTAATCATCACGTTACTAGGTTTTCGTTTTTTTTGTCCTCGTTGAATTCTCATAGGGGATCAGTCAGTGAGTCAGCCCGAGGATTTTGGTAGTGTCACGATGAAATTTACCTGATCCTCCCCAAAGGCTCTGTAATATTCTTGTGATTCCCCACCCCTGCCTCCCCTTGGCAACTAATTGACAGTCATTTTGCTATAGTCCCCCCTTGATATTCTGTTAGCGATGACTGATCCCCCATCTGTACCCCCTTCAAACCATGTGATCTCCCTAAAGTCCTCCACCATCCCCCTCCCCGAATATCAAGAATAACCGTCCCAACCACTTTTGTTTATGAAGGAATCACGCTGAAAATATTTCCAATCTAAATAAAAAATTCACTTTGAATAAATAATTAACATCACCGTTTATTCCATCGCGTCCATCTTTTCCTGCATAAAAAGCAAATCAATTTTCTCATGTCAGGTAGGTAAATAAATAGTTTATTTTTATCGTGAAAAGTTATTCATTTTTAAGTCAATTACTGTATGAATGAACCATAAAGTAACTTTCGCACACTCACCGTTTTGTCCATCTTTTCCGTCTTTTCCTGTCCAGAAATCAACAGAAACCAAACATCAGTAAAGAAACTCGAATTTCTTTCTTTCTCGCCCATAGAGCAAATGCAAATAACTACATGCTCGTAACAAGTACTGAAGTATTTTTAATATTTACCCATCATCTTTACAGTATCCAGCTTGTGAAGCACAGCAGTTTGATTTTGTTGCTGTTCCATGACTCTGTTAAAAGTTTTTAGATAAAAACGAAAAGCGTAACTATAAGTTATGAAATCAAAGGGGTTGATTGGGAAATTACACCCTCGAGCAAAACACAAAAATTCTCACTTTCACTCTAATTCCGATTAGACTACAATTTGGTTACCTGGTTCGCAGATTTGTTCTGTGAATTTGCGAAGGAACTCAATAAAAAGGCAAGAGCCAACACAAAGAGTAATCGAAACATTTTCACTCTAAGTGCCCTCCGATATGAAATGGCAGACGAATCAGTCAGCATACAGGGAACAACTTTCTAGCTCTGTTTATTTTGCCCCATAACAGGAAAATTCAGGATGTTCAAGGGCTTGTGTTGTGAGTATTGTTTACAATGCACAATGAGAATTTGTAGTTTATAGATTATGATATGCTAACTGACCGACTACGATGAACTTCTTATGTCTCCTTAAAACATCGTTATCTTGTACAGTGATCTGGTAAGGAGAATTTAGCCCCTTATCAGTGATGATGAGTTGTTTGGTCTTTAAGTAAATTCTCACTAATTACTATAGTAAAAAAAGTAAATGTTTTGATCTGTGGAAGGAAAGGTGTCCATAGCAAGAATTCAGCTCGCTTTACATCATTTTAAGGAATTTTTCAAAAATGTAATGGTTGATATGAATACTGTGAGTTGAGAGAAAATTCTCGTTTACTTTTACTAAGTAGGAAACACGCAAATTCATTCAATGTAAAATACGACTGAATAAAAATAAAATAAAATAAAGAGAGCAAATTGCCGTGGATTTAGGATATAAGTGTGCACCTTTTTTTTAAAACCATTCTCGTGGAGCTATGTGTGTTTGCAATGTCGCCATTTACTGCAAGCGAGTTCGAAAGGAAAAAAATCGGTTGACTGCAACCGTAGATCAGAACACAACACTGCAATTACTCAAAAGCGACTGACGAGACTTAGTTTACCTAATTATCATTTTCACTAACAAAATATTATCAGTCGCATAATTCCAAAGTTTTCTTTATATAAAATCATTCTTCCCAACAGAGCATCACTTGAATCTTTGGGTTCTAGAATCCAGCAGTATTTATGGGACAAACCTTTCTTTAAAGGGTTATTCCTTATTTCTTGCCTCCTTAGCCTGGTTTTATTAAAAAGATGACGTGTAATTCCATACTATTGAAGTAACCTTGTTAGAATTGAAAGCTATAAGCGAATGAAAATATTGGGGGGGGGAGGGGATGTACGAGACAGCATTTCCACGATGAAATGAGCCTACTTACCAGAGTAACAAGGTGCAGTGAAAATAGCAATTATTTTGAAAATATGATATTCTCTTTCTTTTATTACGAGGCAGAAGACATAACCTAAGGAACAACATTAAAGAGTAGGGTGTCCCTGAGAAAAAATTGACTTATCGCTGAGAGGTTTCCTTCTTAATAAAGTTGCCAAGTGAAAGTAAATACCTTGGTCCGCTTGAAATCTGATCAAGTTGAACAAACGACTCACAAAAACTGTTCTATTATCCTGTGTTTATTCCGTGTGGCGGAGCAATACTGACGTGTCCAGATGATCAGGAATAGAAATTGCCCATTGTTTGTCAACTGTCTGTTCACTCGGTTAACTAAACCGTCCAAACTGAATTGTCAGATAATAGGCTCATGAGTTTTAGAGCTGAGATCATGATTTATTGCAACAAAAAGTAACAGATTAACAAGGTTACCAAAGGTAGAAGAGAATGATCAAGGTCATTTGTTTACCCTAGCTATCCACTGTCACAGAACAAAAAATATTGGGACTGATGAAATACAGTGATATCTGAAAAGGATATCTTCGTTTTAGATATAAGTATCTAAATGACATAAATTTGACTTCTCAGGCCCATAATTACAGAAAGTGCTATTTTCATTTTGCTCTGGTGAACCTAAAAGGCTCCTAACTGCACTTCACAGAATTTCCATACAACATACAGTTTGTTTACAGAAAGGATTACTCGACAAGATTGTATTCAGACTCCAAAGGAAGAAGAACGTAAAAAGCACTTGTAACATAACAGCCTTTACTTCACCTCAAGAATTATACTTTACATTAAAAATCAGTAATGAAAAAGCGCTGAATATGTAAAGCCGTCTCGTCAGGATTAATGAATAACGAAAACAACCGCGTTCTTTGGCAAATACAATGTAGTTCCATGATTTATTTGAATTATATAGAAAACGATATTGAGGTCAACTTTACTTCCATGATGGTCTCATTTTTTTTCTTTTTTTTTTGTACTCCGAGTCTCGATGAAGCTATAACTTCACTTTCTGATGTTTAGGAATTCTTAGACTAGCACTCGGCATTTCATGGAAGCGCTTAAGTTTCACACTCTATGGAAGGATTGATGATGAGGGACCTCAAAATTCGATGTCAATTTGTTTAGTTTTTCGAGAGTTCGATGAAAATTCTAAGAATATGGTTATGCGATAGGCTTCCCGTATTGAGCTATGCTGACGTGTCCATATGATCATCGATAAAACTTGCGCATTGTGTACCAACTGTCCGTTCACTCGGTTTACTAAAACTGTTCAAGCTGAATTGTCAGATAATAGGCTCAAAAAAAATAGTGCTGGGATAGTTAATTGCTGAAACGCAAAACCATCAATGATAGAAAAACTGACGAAGGGAATAAGGTCCAGAAGATTATATTGTCAAAGAACAAAAGTAACTAGGAATAAATAATGACCGGCTGATATTTGGAGAGGGAGATGCTGGCGTTGAATCAAAATGTAAACATTTCACAGATTTGATTCTTCAGGACCATAATAGAATCGTAATTTTAGTTAGGTTCTAGCGAAAGTGAGGACATATCGCAAGATTTTCAACGATTGCTCACTTTGCTCGAATAACCGTCCGATATTTTTAACCCATTAACCGCTTGAACACTGTACCTACTTTTAGATAAGTTGGCAAAAATCTACAGTTAAAAAAACCTATATTTTGTTATCATTCTAAGAGATGCACTTCCCTGATCTTAAGTGTAGTGGTCTATTTTGAGAGTAAACTAGCCTTAGGCTAAAGTACTGTGATCAAACACAATTGTGAACACGAAATCAACATGCAAATTTGGTTTCCTTTTTTTATTATTTGTTCTGTTATAATTTCGTCACAGGAAAGACGTTCTAGCTGATTTCACTATATCCTCAAGGACAGGCCTTCGTTTTGGTGAGTGAGAGTTCATTCTCTCTTCCTGAAAAATTTGTCCGTCGCTTTACAATTATTAGACAGAGGAAAGTTGTACAATTATGACGACTTTGTTCACGTGGAGCCAATTAGTGTAACAAATTATTAAATTTTACATTGTATACCTGATGGATGCTTTGAACAACACAAGTAAACATCGTTTGGTTTACTTCGTGTTTTGGATAGATTAGCGGCGGATCACCGGATATTCAGAAGGCTGAAAACAGCGGAGTTCATAGTTTGTTCCCAATGAGAAGTAAAATTATGAGTTGTGTCCTTTTGATGTTAGCGAGATATAGAAGAGGTATGAATGTCTGTTATATGTGAGTTTCTCAATCAATAAATCAATCATATTTGTTTTAAAATGTCTGTTTAAAAGAAAACCAGAAATATCATAATGCAAAACAACTTATATTATCATGATGGTATATAAATAAGTGAATGAGGCTTTTAAAACGGAAAACTGAACTTCAAACAAAAATGAAGTAGAAATGAACTTTTAACAATTGCAAATACTTTCGATTATGAATTTCTAATGATGTTTATATCATCATCGATAACTTACACTCGCTCTATTTGTTTCCTGGAGGAATAACTGGGAGAAATAATTTGGAAAATATAAAACATTAATTATGATGAAAAAAAAAACATTCAAAACATAAAATTCTTGTTTTATTACAAGAGTTTTGCTGAGGAGTTTAGCAATGCCTTTTAAATATACGAAGGAAACATCTAACAGTTAGAGCCACGATGTTTTAGTAGAAGAATGAGAGACCCTACGTTCCACAAAAATTATTTTGAAACAGACTTTACCAGAGCCAAACTGTGATTGAATATTGTTGAAGTGACCATCAGTGGAGATCACTTATCAGTCTGTGTGGTTTACTAGAGAAAGGAACTCGTGAAACTATTCAAAATCATATTCTCTTTGCCCAATTTTTTTTATTTGGTAATTATACTTTTCACAACATACTTATTCAAAAACCTTCTTCTGTAAATTTATGGAATAGGTTCTCTTGGTAAATCATGGATTCTTTCAAACTCTGTCGACGCGAAAGGGACGAAATAACGGCGCTCAGCTTTTTCCAGTTTACTTGAACTGTATACAGAAAATTATCGAATTAATGTTTGCTCCGTACGTTAATTAATAACAGCTCAACTCTGAACCTAAATATATCAACGTTTTATATTTTCTGAGTGAAAAAAAGAAAAAGACTTATGCCTAAACTGAGATGACAATGTCACAAACCATTCTGTGACTTCAGCCGGCAAAGGAATCATTGATGAATCTGGACATTTTAGTTTTCTGAATGCAGTAACTCCTGAAAGGTTTTTCTAGATGTCATGAAAAGAGGAAAAAACCCATCTCTTGGTGTTTCGGAGGTTGATTCATTTTTGAATTTCTGTGTCACGCTTGTCATGCAACTGATATAATAAGATAGAGAAGATATATAAACTGGAAATCAAATCTGGCTAGAATGTGGTAGAGCATAATCAACATGATCATCGAAACAGCTCATAAAATCATAAATAAACAAGGTAAGAGTGCTATGTTTGATTTTTTTGCAAATTGTAGTAACTTATGCCGGTTAACGGTGGCGACAAGAAGGCACACCATGTATATTTCATAGTCGCTATCAAGTAAATTTTGCCGGACTTTGAGTTCGTCTCAAGATAGAACAACATAAATGCACAAGGAAATTTTTACAGTCACTTTATGACCATCCTTTTGTCTTTAAAAAACTTGAAGCTCAGTAGATTGTGTCATATCGGTCATTGTTAAAACTGTCTTTGTTTTGATGCTACTTTTCGACATAGGAAAAGTATGTCGGACAAAAATATTCACCAAAAAATAAATATTTCTTTGCCAGCTTCGATAATGACAGGGGATTAAGTTTAGATGATAAAACAAGGTATTATGTTGACAGAAATACCGTAGGTCAAGTATATTCGTTGCATGAGGTCACACAACTCGGGTAATATTCACGTTGAAAATTTGCATATTTTAGCGGTCGAACGAAAA